GGCCCAGGGAGACGTGGGGCCGGTCAGTCAGTGGTGGGGCCCAGGGAGACGTGGGGCCGGTCAGTCAGTGGTGGGGCCCAGGGAGACGTGGGGCCAGTCAGTGATGGGGCCCAGGGAGACGCGGGGCCGGTGAGTCAGTGATGGGGCCCAGGGAGACGTGGGGCCAGTCAGTCACTGATGGGGCCCAAGGAGACGTGGGGCCGGTCAGTGATGGGGCCCAAGGAGACGTGGGGCCAAGGCCAGGCATTTCGTTAGGAATTCTAACTCTCAGAGGTGTAGTCCTGGCTCAAGTTCCCACAGCAACAGCTGACAAGGTGTGATGTCTCGCCCTGACTCCAAGCCCCTTGCTCTTACTGGTCTGACCCATGCTGATATCAACCAGGGCCAACCATCATGCATACCTAGGCTAAAATATTCAGTACTCACCATAGGCTGTCCAGGATCTGAAAATTTCACTTTAATATCCTGCAGGTGCTTCAAGATCGGTTCATCGTATTCCTAATCACAAATGGGGGAGAAAACTTTAAAAAAATAACTCATATCTTCTGAATTACTGCTGCATACACTTCTAGACGCTGGATACTCAGCCCTGTGGGAAATCTGTCCCTGCCAGGTAAAAACTCCCAGGAACCCAGCTACCAGTCTCAGGGTGGCAGAAAAGAGGTGACAAGTATTAGCTGCCAACTTCACTACCGTCGACAACACTGTCCCAGCAATAGCAGCACCTTCAAGAGCCCTGACCACTTCCCGACCCCCTGCTGACATCAGAAATGCCACCAGCTAAATATTCAGTACACTGCCTTCAGAACTTCTAGAGATAAGAACATGGGGCTTGGAAATTAGAAGAGAGGGTTATATCAGCTACTAACCCTGACGGCCAATTCCCCTCCCCGTGGCGGTAACGCCCCAAATCCCCAGTACACGTCATTAACCACTCACTTTTTCATGAACATGATAAAGTGTGTCTGCGACATAGTTCGCACATACGACACAAGAACATCACAACAAGGGCTCTGTGTGCTCTTACAGTGACCAATATTCAAACTCGGAATTTACCAAAACCTGTGGTTTTAGAAAGTCCAAGTGAGAGACCAGCAGAGGAAACACAAGACTAGAATCCCGCCATCAAACGCCAGCTCCAGGGGCTTCATTCACAAAATGGAGCTTCCGCTTTATACCCTGATGTCTGGCGACTCAACCTAAAGATTTCTTGAGGCTCCACTAAGTTTTAAGAATAAATACATTCTGGTAACTGTCAATTTTCCTCAGCCTCGCAGAGGACATACTAGCAATGCAGGGCCGCAGGCCGCCCAGACCCGAGGCTCCTGCATTCCCTACCAGGTCCCCAGGTGGTCCCTGAGGCAGTCTGAGACTCTGCACTCATCTATACGACAGCCCTTCCATCTGCTCCTCTGGATTCGGATTTTCAACTCCTGTGGCACATCAGACTCACCCGAGGAGCTCTAAAAGACACTGATACCTCGGCCCCAAAATTCTCGCTGACTTGGGTCTGTGGGTGGGGGTGGGGGGCACTGATATTACCATTTACTTTTCAAAGTCCCACCGGTGATTTGCATACACAGTTAGGGTTGTACGTGAGCCCTGGTCTATATATGGTCTATATATGATTCAATTTTCCCCATCTACTTCTGATCCACATGTTCTTAAAGGCAGCAGAGCTGGCAAGGGGATAAAGTGCTGAAACCATGAAACCCGTCCTTCCACTTGCAGGCAGCACCGAGGAATACCATGCCAGCACAGCCAGAAGTCCAGAGCCCGGGAACTCACCCCAGCGTAGAGGAGACCATATCTCTGGGCTTTTGAGCAACTAAAACCAGGTCAGCCAACGAGACTTAGGGCAGGACCTAACTCTGTATTCCAGAAATTTCTACCAAAAACTCAGTTCAGGGAAGTGAAATTTGCTACGTTTTAAGTGGTGTACCATTTCACGGTAGAAAAGACAAGATGCAAACAGAAAAGCTGGCTATTCCCCTCTTTTTAAAAATACTTTCTCAAGGGAAGCAATGACAAAGTATCAGCAACTCATATGTTTCTGCAACACGCAAGGATGCACAGCAGACCCGTCTGATATTAAACAACAAACAGAAGTTGACATATGTGTGTATGGATATATACACATACAGGCACACACACATACACCTTCCATGCCTTCAAAATGCATTCTCCCACCCTCCCTGCTTGTCCTCATACTTCCCCGCTTATTCACATGCTGGAAAGACAGAGAAGGCATCGGCAGTTGACCTAACAGGCTTTCTGCGGCGGAGGCCACAGGTTACCCCTCAGAAAATGCTACGACCCTGGTGACTACAGGAGGTGAAACGACGTTCTGGCCAGGTTCAGAGCAGCCAGCCTTTCCATGACAGCTGTCAGCACTAAGGTGCACGAGATACAGCAGCAAGGATTACAGCAGTAACACGCCTTCCCTAGGAGATCCTGGGCAAGATACTGACCAAAGCTCCAGGCCCCAGAAACTGCCTTTCCACCCACCTATGAATACCGTCCAAGCACCCAGTTAATAAGCTTTACGAGGTGGAAGGAAATCTGATTACCTGTACTAATTCACTTAGCATGTCTACATTTCTAAAGATGGTGAACCAGAATTCTGGAATTCCCTTGGGATTTGGCTCTTCTGCTGTTGCTGCTTCTTTTTCTGCTATGACTACTTTATTTTTCACGTCTCCCTTAAAAAAAAAAAAAAAAAGGTAAAACAGAACACTTATCACAAAGAAGCAGAATCACACATCACCTAGTGCTCAGTGCAGAGCGCCATCTCAGAATCCCACACACACCTCTCCCTTCTGGAAACTCTCCTCAGTGAGTCCGCAAGTCCAAGGCCCCTGTGCATGGTACAGCAACTTCCAGAAGTTTACAAGGAAAGGAGCGCCCAAGGCATCCCATCCAGATGTAATTTTACATCAAGGAGGGAAAAGCGAAAATGGTACCAAGTCACTCAAGTTGGGGAGGCCGCCCAGTTCCTGGCTGTGGGAGAGCCTGCCTCGGGACAAGTCCACCATCACCAGATGCGGCCTCTTACGACTAAATCAGCCTCAGCGAGATGCCATTCCAACCAGGCAGAAATCACAGTATTAAATAGGTGAGAAAAATTCAGCTCAAAGACAAACAATTTCACTTGAACTAAGAATCTGACCTGATTAAAATTGGAGGGAAAAAAAAGGAAGCTGGAAATATTTGCTTGCAGCAGTATCTTCTGCAATAAAAAACTGCCAAGTAATTTCTACATCCAGCTCTAAAGAAGTGGCTTGTAAGTTTTGGTACCTAAAATACCGTTCAACCATTAGGAGTGGTGTCTAGGAAGGCTTTGTGGCAAGCATCCCGACCCCAGGGAAAGGCAAGATTGTAGGGGGTAAAACACAGACCACGTGAAATCTTGAACGTTTTGTCAAATGAAATTATTACGACAAAATGCTCATGGTGGGGCTTTTCAGATTAACAGAGACAGATTTTTCTTGAGTGATAAAAAACGCACTCAAAGCTACATTGATTCAGTCACAGTTTCTAGAAGACCAGGTTCTATATATTCTTAAAAGATCAAAAACACAAATGGCTACCAATATTAACACTCTTCAAAAAAAAACTGCTGAGAAGTTCACAGTACAGGATAAAAGCTACTTGTCTCCCAAATGTAAAATCAGACGGACAGAGTCATGCCAATCATGGATTACTCTGGGAATTTCTGTGGCACTGGAATGGAACCCATCACCAGTCAAAGTCTGTTAACAGGTTACGAACAGTGCAAATCGTCATGACGACACTCAACGGTTTACCAGATCCACCCCGGTTAGTCTATTCATAAAGCACTCTCTTTCCTGGGACTGTCGCTCCTTAGCAGGATGCCACGGGAGTCTCCACACCACGCTGCTCCTCACCACAGACCTCTCACTAGCGTGACACGGACAGGCCTCTGCCCGTCGCCAGTCTCTGCTTCCTCTTGACCTGAGACTGTCTCTGATGTCTGAGTCTTTGTCCACCTGAACCCCTATCTCAACACACCACTGTGCACAGTGCTAGACTCGTTGAGAGGCTTAGTCTGCAGCATGGAGCCCAAGGCTCAGTGACCGGCTGCTCCGTGCTCACGGTCACACGGAACTCTCAACAGCCCCCCACTTAGTGACGAAGCAGCACCGACTGTGAGAAGCTCTTCCCTGAGCAAAGGTCTATCGATGATTAAAACCACTGAAAATTGTTACTTATTTCTCTAACAGTATTAAAATAAACACAAGTTACTCTCATTAAAAAAACACCACTCACAGCCAATTTATCCTCCTCCTCGTTTTCACTGTGCCACTCTGATTCTGCATCTGTCGGCTCAACGTCACCAGTGATGAATTCTCTTCTCTGCAGGAGAGAGTGTGGATTAGGCTACACTAAGTTACTTGGAAGCTCAAGAGTTAGGATAACAAGTCTGTAAACGCCTATGAAAAGACTTTGAAAACTGGGTGCTTTTACAATTGTCATTTTAAAAATTCTAAGTTTTAGAGCATAAAGAAATACTTTAAACAATCCACTGAGCAAACGTGGATTTTTTTTTTTACCTAACGTGCAGGAATTACATCTGTGAGTGAGCCTCCCTACCTTGTCGAAAAGAGGCTGGTATAAAGCGGCGTACTTCCTCTCCAAGTCGTGAACTTCTTCATAGAACTTGGCCTCTATGTGAGCGCACTTGACCTGCAGCTGCTTCAGGGCATTGATTCTTCTTTTCACTGCTTTTGGTAAACTAAACGAGGAACGAAACACACGACCCTTATGTCTGCAACACGAGGCAGCATGCTTTCCAGTCGCGTTAAGACAAACTTAGGTCAATGTGGAATCAGCATCCTTACTAAGAAAAAAAAAAAACCCTTAAGATTGGCTTTTGATTTTTTAAATACCCAGTGCTACCGAGGGCAGAGAAGCTCTCTAAATCAACACATCTTGCACTGTGGGGACCATGGTCTCGGGGAACATCTAGCTCAAAACTGGCGTCACACAGTTTATAAAGACAATGTTCTAGACTCTACCTTGGTGAGTAGCGTCTGGGGTCTTAAAAGCCCGTGAGCAGCCATCTAAGATACTCCACTGGTCTCACCCCTTCAGGAACAAAGGAAGATGAAGAAAACTAAAGACACGGGAAAAACTAGTCCAAAGGACTAACGGACCACAGCTACCACAGCCTCCACCGGACTGAGTCCAGCACAACTAGATGGGGCCCGGCTACCACCGACTGCTCTGACAGGGATCACAACAGAGGGTCCCGGACAGAGGTGGAGAAAAATGCAGAACAAAATTCTAACTCACAAAAAAACACCAGACTTAATGGCCTGACAGAGACTGGAGAAATCCCAAGAGTATGGCTCCTGGACACCCTTTTAGCTCTGCAATGAAGTCACTCCTGAGCTTCACCGCTCAGCCAAAGATTAGACAGCCCCATAAACAAAACGAGACTAATAGGGAACAACAATCCAGCGACGAGGACCAGAAGGCAGGAGGGGACAGGAAAGCTGGTAACAGGAAACCCGAGGTTGAGAAGGGACAGTGTTGACATGTTGCAGGGTAGTTAACTACTGTCATAAAACAAAATGTGTACCGTTTAATGAGAAAGTATTTGTTCTGCAAATCTTCATCTGAAGTACAATAACAAAAATAAACACACATAAACTAAAATTTTTTAAAAAGTACAATAAAAAAAAGAGACAAAAAAAAAAAATCAACTCATCTTTCTTGAAGGCAAACAACCTTGAAAATGTTCTCTACATCTAGTAATTCCACTTCTAAGAATTTATCCTGAGGAAATAACCAAACGTTTATGTGCTAGAATGTCTGCTGGTGTGTATCTGTTAAAGTGAAAAACTGCTAACAGTTTCACAGTTGAAAAGGATGAAAACACGGCATGTCCACAATCATGTTTCAATGAATATTCAGTGCCAGATGGACTACTCTTATTAACTCACCAGGGGAAAAATTTAAGAGGCAGAAGAGTGAAATGCGGTCTCGTCCAGAGTCAGATCAAGCATGATTCTCTACGCCTTTCAATACTTTTCTATATTTTAAAACACAGTTTCTGCTACATTTATAAATCAGAATAAAAACCTAAACAATCCATGTGGGGTGGGGCTGGACCCTGCATTCAGCACTAGTCAGCACTTCACTCATCCTGCCACAAGCCCCCAGGGCAGAACACCAGGCGACTTCTGCCAACACCAGTTTGGAAATTACTGGAACAGCCTTGAACCATGAAGGACCACTGCACCTCAGGCTCCAAAACAGAGATGCCCACTTGGGTCTGACATCCTAGGGCCGCTGCTGGTAGATCAACAAGGACAAAGCACAGACCTAACAAAATGGCAGACACACATGGATATTTGTACCTCTTTTCTGCATTAATTCCACAATTTAAATTTAGTTTCTTATTTCTGCAAATCCTTCTAATGCAGTAAAAATAAATACACCGCTATAAGCGAACTGGACCTCGGCCACCTCCTCAGCCACCCTCCCACCATCCTCCAGGGACTGCCGTGGCCCTTCTCCTCCATGGGAACTCCAAACGCAGCTCGCATGGGAGTGTCTCCACCTCTGCCTTCCAACACTGTTCCATATTTAAAAATCAGTCTTATGTGCTACATTTATGAATCAGAAGGAAAAAAAACTTTTTGAGTTGTTTCCTCAGTGAAGGCCTCCCCCACCCACTCGGTTTCTAAAACCAGAAAACTAGCAAACGTGAATCCTTCTCAATTCCTGCCACCCTCACCCTCCATCACGGAACCCCACCCGCCACACTCACCCTCCATCACCATATCCCACTGATTCAACCTTCAAGAATCTCTCAAAATCGTCCCCACTAAGCAATCTTCAGAGAACCCTCTAAACAGGCAGTGTCCTTTCCCCACTGTAACTGCCCAAGGGACATCACCCAACAGTGATGGGGGCAGGCAGGTACAAGCAGTGTAGAGGGCAGGGCATTCTGCAAGACCAAACCTTGTCTGGGCTGTAAGCTGAGGCCTAGCAACAGTCCACCCCTTCCAGAAGGAAGCCAACCAGGCCAAGAAGAGCTGATGCAGGGCCCAGGGATGGGTGTCCACACCAGTTTTACTGTGTAATAATACAACCAAGACACAGATTTTGGAGAGGCGGGCTCAGGCAGGTAAGTCAGGGTGGTGTGGCTGTCACAGCTAACTTAGGAGCCACGGGGAAAAGAAAACCTTCTGTCCCTCTGCCTGGCGTGTCATTCCCTGTCAACTCCTTCCTGTCCTCCCTGACTTACAGGCCTGTAAAGTCCTCTCAAACCTCCACAGAGCAGCATCATACATGGTCTGTGCGGTGTCCCTCTACCAGACAGAGTCCAGTACACAGACAGCATCACTCATCTCTGGAAGCCCAGGGCCTGACACGCAGCAGGCAGCGTCTCCCGATGAAAACTGCACTCACTCCTACCCTAGGGAACTGGAGAATAACATCTCTCCTGTTTTCATTTCATTCTTTTAAGTTGTATCAAATTTTCACTCACAGTGTACTTACGTTTCAATGTAGCTCGATGGAGTGTGAGAGACATTTTCAAGTCGTTCCTGTAAAGCTGCCAAAACTTGAGGATTCTGCATCACCTGATCTGTGAGCTTTTCTAGAAAGAGTTAAAAACAAGGCCAAAAATAAGTAAAACATGCTCACCACAGAACAGCCAAGAGCTGAAAATCTCCAATGCATAAACCCACACAGCTCTGCTTGCCTACTTTAATTTCTACATAAATATCCAGATGGTGGGGACTCTACAACGGGCCAGGAGCCTCCTGACATGTCAGAGTACCAAAAGAGAAAACCGAGGGTGGGTGGGTTTGTGTGCACACGCAGGCACGCACAGCAGGAACAAGGAGACACAACTCAGTGCAAGGCTGGAGGGGACTAGGCCCTGGATCCGGGCGTGGGCACAGCTTTAACCCCGTGCACCTGTCAGTGTGTCGTACGGTGGGGGGCTCGTGTGTCACTGTCATGCTGGAAGCTATGCCACTGGTATTCAAATACCAGAAGGGTCACCCATGGCAGACAGGCTTCAGCTGAGCTTCCAGACTCAGACAGACGAGGAAAAAGAACCATGTGATCTACTTCTGAAAAAAAAATTAGCCAGTGAAAATCTTACGAATAGCAGCGGAACGCTGAGTGATACAGTGCCGGAAGATGGGCCCTCAGACTGGAAGGCACTCGTAAGACAACTGGGGAACAGCTACCTCCTCAAAGTAGAGTCAACCTTAATGACACGGATGGAGTCAAACTTTTGGGACCTTCATTTGCTGATGTGGCAAGACTCAAAATGAGAAGAGACAGCTGCAAATATCCATTAATGATTGCAATGTGGAATGTACAAAAAGGAAAATTGGAAACTGTCAAAAAAAATGGAGCGCATAAACATCGATACCCTAGGCATTAATTAGTGAGTTGAAATGGACTGGTAGTGGCCATCGGAAGCTGACAACCATATACTGGGAACAACAAACTGAAGAAGAACGGTGTCCCATACAACATCAGAAAGAACATTTCAAGATCTCTCCTGAAGTACAAGCTGTCAGTGATACGATAACATCCACACGCCTACAAGGAAAGCCACTTAATACGAATATTATTCAAATCTACGTACCAACCACTAAGCCCAAAGATGAAGAAATTCAAGATTTTTACCCACTTCTGCAGTCTGAAATCGATCAAACATGCTATCAGGATGCATTGATAATTACCAGTGATTGGAATGTGAAAGTTGGAAAGAAAGAAAGATCGGTAGTTAGAAAATATGGCCTTGGTGATGGAAACGATGCCAAGATAACAGAATTCTGCAGACGGACGACTTCATCACAGGCACCTTTGCTCAACCACACAAATGGCGACTACACACGTGGAGCTCACCAGATGGACACGCAGGGACCAAACTGACCACATCTTTAGAGAGAGACGATGGAAACGCTCCATGTCATCAGTCAGAACAAGGCCAGGGGCCGACTGCAGAACAGACCAATGACTGCTCCTAGGCAAGTTCAAGCAGAAGCTCAAGAAAACAGGAACAAGTCCACAAGAGTCAAAGTATGACCCTGAGTATATCCCACCTGAACTTAGAGACCATTTCAGGGAATAGATCTGACACACTGAACGCTAACAACCGAAGACCCAACAAGCTGTGGAACGACATCAAGGACGTCATACGTGAAGAAAGAGGTCATTAAAAAGACAGGAAAGAAGAAAAAGATCAAAATGACTGTCAGAAGAGACTTTAAAACTTGCTCTTGAACATCGAGTAGCTAAAGCAAAAGAAAGAAATGATGAAGTAAAAGAGCGGAACAGAAGATTTCAAAGGGCGGCTTAACATGACAAAGTATTATGACGACATGCGCGAAATGCTGGAGATAGAAAACCAGAAGGGATGAACGTGCTCAGCATTTCTCAAGCTGAAAGAACTGAAGAAAAAACTCAAGCCTTGAGTTGCAATACCGAAGGATTCTATGGAGAAAATATTAAACAATGCAGGAAGCATCAAAAGAAGATGGAAGAAATAGAGTCACTGTACCAAAAAGAAGTGGTTGATGTTCAACCACTTCAGGAAGTAACTTATGATCAGGAACCGATGGTGCTAAAGGAGCGGTCCAAGCAGCACCGAAGGTACTGGCAAAAAAAAAAAAGGCTCCAGGAATTGACAAATACCAACTGAGATGTTTCAAAAGACAGACACAGTGCCAGAAGTGCTTACTCGTCCATGCCAAGAAAACTGGAAGACAGCTACCTGGCCAACCGACTGGAAGAGCTCAATATTTGTGCCTATTCCAAAGAAAGGTGATCTAAGAGAATGTGGAAACTACCTAACAGTATCTATTAATATCACACTCAAGTAAACTTTTGCTGAAGATCATTCAAAAGTGGCTGCAGCAGCATATCGACAGGGAACTGCCAGAAATTCAGGCTGGATTCAGGAGAGGACGTGGAACCAGGGATATCACTGCTGATGTCAGATGGGTCCTGGCTGAAAGCAGAGAATACCAGAAAGATGTTTACCTATGTTTTATTGACTATGCAAAGGCATTTGACTGTGGATCATAACAAATTATGGATAACACTGCGAAGAATGGGAACTCTAGAACACTTAACTGGGCTCATGAGGAACCTGTACTTAGACCAAGAGGGAGTCATTCAAAGAGAATAAGGGGATACTGCATGGTTTTAAAGTTAGGAAAGGTGTGCGTCAGGGTTGTATCCTTTCACTGTATTTATTCAATCTGCATGCTAAGCAAACACTCAGAGAAGCTGGACTATATGAAGAAATGGGCATCAGGATTAGAGGAAGATGAAAAACCTGTGATATACAGGTGACATAACCTTGCTTGCTGAAAGCGAAGAGGATTTGAAGTACTTACTGATGGAGATCAAAGACCACAACCCTCAGTATGGATTACGCCTCAACATAAAAGAAAACAAAAATCCTCACAACTGGACCAATAAGCGACATCATGATAAACGCAGAAAAGACTGACGTTGTTAACGATTTCATTTGACTTTGATCCACAATCAACACCCACGGAAGTAGCAATCAAAAAATCAAACGACGCACTGCACTGGGCAAATCTGCTGCCAAAGACCTCTTTAAAGTTTTCAAAAGCAAAGATGTCACCTTGAAGACTAAGGTGCACCCGACCCAAGCCATGGTGTTTTCAATCACCTCGTGCATGCGAAAGCTGGACAATGAAAAAGGAAGACCAAAGAACTGCCGCCTTTGAGTTGTGGTGTTGGCGAGGAATACTGAATACCCCACGGACGGCCAGAAGAAGGAACATATGTGTCTTGCAATACGGCCCGAATGCTCTTTAGAAGCAAGGATGGCGAGACTATGTCTCACATACTTTGGACGTGTTATCAGGAAGGATCAGCCCCTGGAGAAGGACATCATGTTTGGTAAAGTAGAGGGTCAGGGAAAAAGAAGAAGCCCCTCAATGAGATGGACTGACACAGTGGCTGCACGAATGGGCTCAAGCATAACGACGACTGTGAGGACAGCACAGGACCGGGCAGTGTTTCGTTCTCTTGCACACGGGGTCGCTATGAGTCAGATCCGACCGGACAGCACCGAACACCAACACGGTCTTAAAGGAAGTGCTGTGAAAACCGGGGGAAATGTGAACCCAACTGCACATGAACCAACAGTACTGTATGGACGTTAACCCTCTTGGTGGTGGTAACGGCACTGTGGTGATGAGAATTCATCCTAGGGTTTAGATTTACATGGTGTTTGAGGGGAAAAGAGTCAGGATGGCCACAACTTGCTTTCAAACATTTCGGGGAGGGGGGTGGGGAAGAAAGTGGGTATACAGACTTACAAATGGGGAGAAGGACAGTATGTATCTGAGACTTGCTTCAGAATAACCAAGGCGGAGGCACGAGGGCACAGACGGAAGAGGACTGTCCGTGCGCCCCTCAGCGTCCAAGCTGATCCAGGGTTAGGTAACAAGCTTCACTGTGCTGGTCTCTTTACTTTCGTACAGTCTGAACGAGATTTTCTTTAATGATGTATTGGTTTTCATTTAATTACCCTAACTTTCCTAAAATCCAGAAGCAGAGTAACGCTTTACTTCTATCATTATAACAAAATCTCCTAGAGAGTAGGAGCCCCACCCTCTTCATGCAAACCCTCCACAGCTGACATCACTTTTTTATGCCAAGTGAGCTTACCTTTATTACTTGCATTTTTGGCAGCTTCCAAGGAATCTGAAGGAACCCCATCTGAAGAACTGAAACAATGTTTTAAAAATATTATTGTAAAGAAAGTTCAAATTGGCATTATAAAAAATCCATCTTTAACACGCAAAGGTACTGCACGTGGCAGCTGATGTGCATGTCTTCTGAGACTTTCCTCTGTTGTTGAAGCTTACCCTCCCCACCCCACCACCCCATACGTGTGCGCATCACCCTCAACAGTTCTGATTTCCAACCCTGGCCAAAGCTTGTTAGTTTTTTCTACAACTTCTTTCCTCAAAAATCTACTCCCAGCTCTCAAACCAAAACAACTACCCTGAAACGAAACAAAAATCCAACTGTTTGGTCAGCTGTTAAACAGCACCCACAGTTGCTCTGTAAGGTATCAACAAAGCCGGTCTCTAAAAAAGTACAAACTTCAGACCTCAGAACCTACTATACAGCTACGGTAGTCCAAACAGCCTGGTACTGGTCCAATGACAGATACACTGACCAAAGGAAGAGAACTGAGAACCCATATGTAAATCCATCCACCTACGGTCACCTGATCTTTGACTAAGACCTAAGGTCTGTCAAATGGGGAAAAGATAGTCTTTTTAACAAATGGTACTGGCAAAACTGGATGTCCATCTGCAAAAAAATGCCAACAGGACCCATACCTCACACTATACACAAAAACTACTTCAAATGGATCAAAGACCCAAATATAAAACCAAAAACTATAAAGATCATAGAAGAGAAAACAGCGCCAACGCTAGAGGCCCTAACACATGGTATTAACAGGATACAAATCATAATGAATAATACACAAACACCAGAAGATCAGCTAGATAACTGGGATCTTCTAAAAATTAAACACTTATGCTCATCAAAACACTTCACCGAAAGAGTGAAAAGAGAACCCACAGACTGGGAAAAAATATTTTGGCTATGACAAATCTGACAAAGGTCTAATCTCTAAAATCTACAGGAAAATCTAACACCTCTACAACAAAGACAAATAATCCAATTAAAAAATGGGCAAAGGATATGAACAGACACTTCACCAAAGACATTCAAGTGGCCAACAGACACGAGGAAATGCTCGTGATCACCAGCCATTAGAGAAATGCACATCAAAACCACAATGAGATACCATCTCACCCCGACTACTGGCATGAATCAAAAACACAGTAAACAACAAATGTTGGAGGGGAGACTGGAACTCTTATGCACTGCTGGTGGGAATGCAAAGTGGTGCAATCGTTTTGGAAAATGATATGGCGCTTTCTTAGAAAGCTAGAAATAGAAATACCATGTGATCCAACAGTCCCACTCCTCGGAATATAGCCTAGAAAAAGAAGAGCTGTCACACGAATAGACATATGCACACCCATGCTCACTGCAGCACTGTTCACATAAGCAAGATGGAGACAGCCTAGATGCCCATCAACAAATGAATGGATAAACTATGGTACATACACACAATGGAATACCATGCAGCAATAAAGAACAGTCATGCAGCTGCAAAGCATCTCACAATTGGCATAACAAAGTTTACAAAGAAAAAGTTCTACATTCTACTTTGGTGAGTAGTGTCTGGGGTCTTAAAAGCTTGTGAGAGTCCATTGAAGATACTCCACTGGTCTCACTCCATCGGGAGCAAGAGAGAATGAAGAAAAGTAAAGACACAATGGAAAAATTAGTCCAAAGGACTAATGGACCACAACTACCACGGCCTCCACCAGACTGAGTCCAGCACAACTAGATGGTGACCGGCTACCACCACTGACTGCTCTGACAGGGATCACAATAGAGGGTCCCGGACAGAGCTGGAGAAAAATGTAGAACAAAGTTCTAACTCACAAAAAAAGGACCAGACTTACTGGTCTGACAGATACTAGAGAAACTCTGAGAGTATGGCCCCTGAAAACCCTTTTAGCTCAGTCATGAAGTCACTCCTACTGAGGTTCATCCTTCAACCAAAGATTAGACAGGTCCATAAAACAAAAAGAGACTAAACAGGCACACGGCCCAGGGGCGAGGACGGGAAGGCAGGAGGGGACAGGAAAGCTGGTAACAGGGAACCCAAGGTTGAGAAGGGGAGAGTGCTGACATGTCGTGGGGTTGGCAACCAATGTCACAAAACAGTATGTGTATTGTTTAATGAGAAGCTAATCTGCTCTGTAAACCTTTATCTAAAGTATGTATTTTTTTAAAAAAGGGAATAAAAGCATAAATTTCGTAATACGAGTAACAGTTTTCAAAAATGCCTAAATACACTTGCTCACCAAAAACAAACCATATCAAACAACATACAAACCGAATGTGAGCAAGAGGAACTCAAGGCACTTGATTTTCAGCACTCTTAAGACAACAAACTTTCAACTGAGCCCAGGGGGCTGGGGCTTGACTGGTGTCAAGTTAATGATGTGCCCTCCCTCCCTCCCTGGAGTGCCAAAGCCTGATGAACAAAAGACCCCTTTCCACAGAGGTGTGTAAGTATCCATACTGGAGAAACATTGCACATGGTCTTATTATACAGCTAAACCTCCTCACATCTGAAGCAACTTCTTTATGGGCACCAATGTACAGAAAAACGAGCCACCAGCTAGAGCCTGAAGTGCATCCTGCTCTGACTTGGGTGGTGTTTCACTGAAACATGGCTTGGCTCTTGCTCACCAATGAGATTTCAAAACTCCAAGAAAGAAAGTCCACTTGCGCTTACCTGTTATCTGCCATCTGAATGTTTTTATCCCCTACAAAAGAAAGAGAGTTGTAATAATTAGCATTTCTAAGATAAACAAACAAAACTGTGTTAAAGTAAACTTGAATAGAGATCATCTGTGGGGACAAGGCTGACCAGAAGGGGCACGAGAGAACGTTCTAGGGTAGAGAGACACTCTATACTGGACTGGAGCTACTGGTCAGTTAGTGTCAAAACTCACCAAATTACACCCCTAAAACCTGTGCATTACACTGTGTGCAAATTTTATCTCATAAGAACCCACTCTTTTATAGGTGAGCCAAAGTTTATGAGCGGTTATTAGGGCTGGGGGAGGGGTAAGTGGGGATTCATTACTTAAGGGGTACAGAGTTTCTGTTTGGGATAATGAAAAAGCTTTAGAAATAGTGGTGATGGTTGCTCTACAATGAGAATAATTAATGTCACCGAACTGTATACTTAAAAATGGTTAAAACGGCAAATTTTGTTATCGGTATTTCGCCACAATTAAAAAATCATCTAAACGCATTCGACCCAAACCCGAACCCGCTGCTGTCGACTCCGACTCACAGTGATCCTACAGGACAGCGGAGAACTGCACCATAGGGTTTCCAAAGCCGTAATCTTTATGGGAGCAACTGCCCATCTTTCTCCTGAAGAGCAGGAGTGGGCTTGAACCCCCGATCTTTCGGTTAGCAGCCCAGCGCTTAACCACTGTGCTACCAGAGCTCCTTAAATGCATTCAACAACTAAAGGCATAACCGAAGAGTCTTTAGATGTAAAATAAAACTCAAGTTGTTACCAGAGTTCCTTAAGCAACCTCAGAAGTTAGGACATATATTTCAGAGCCTCTCTGAAGAGGCTGACCACTGGGGGCTGCTTCACTCTTAGGCATTTTAACAAAGCCCAGACTCCTCAATCACAAAGCTTTCGGATAAACCAAAACAAAATCTGAATTTACAATCGCTCCAATTTATGATCTACAACTGTTTGGTATTTATCTCAATTCCACTTCTGTTTTTTTAGAGTTTTGTGTCAACAAATTTTTAATTATTTTAAAAAAAATTTACTTTTTTCAAAAAAGCTAAAAGATTTAAGGAAGCAAATGAAAACAAGAAGAAAAAAAAACAATGCACCAAAGATCATAATGGCTAGCCATGCCCACGCCGCCACCAGGCCAGTTACCCCACACAGACCCACGGGATTGTCTTTTACAACACTTTAATGACTCCCCAGCACCTTCTGCCCAGGGTCCAAGCTCATCACACACAAACACAAGCCCTATACTATCTAACCCTGCCCGCCTCTGCACTGATTCCCAGCTCACACGCCTTTCCAATGTCTGCCACACGCACATACAGCTGCAGTCATAACACACCCACGTTTATATGCTGCTTTCACATATTACACGCCAAGTGCAAACAGGTATGTCTACAGAATATTTTTTATGACAACATTCTGAGCGTCAATACACTTACCATTTACCACCTGTTAAACAGTGAAGATGTTTTCTTTCTATTCTACACCTGTGATAACGTCTCTATGGGCACAACTTAGTTTGTGCTGCGCCCCCCCACCCCCCAAATTACATTAGATTAAAACGGCAACAGCAGGATCTCCGGGTCAGAGCATACGAATGGATCCGGACACATACTGCCAAACTGGTTCCTCACTGACAGCAACTGTAACTCGGCTGCATAACGGAGCTGCCCCTGGCCTAACAAATGCATCCGGCAGTCCCTTCCCTAGCCCACACACACACTACAGAAGTGCTGAAAGGGGTCTGCTCTCCTGGCAGCAACGGACAGCTTTCACTACCAGGCTACAGTACAAAACAAAGCCACACTCCATCCCAAGGGCCTCCGTGCCAGGCACTTCCACTTTACACTCACGTCACCTCCACCAGGAAGGGACTGTCCCAGGTGACAGGAAAGGAAGCCAAGGCACAGGGAGGTGAACTACCTAATCCAGGGTCGTGGCTGGCGAGCAGTGGGATGCAAACCCACACCATTCTGACCTCTCCATACTACCTGCTACCAACCTCTCCATTTCTCGTTGCCTCTACCCACTCTGTTAAGAGATCTTTTACTGCTGGAAGAGATGACAAGCAACAGCTCAGTCAGGGTCTGAACGCTGCCGTTGAGCAGCAGTCCCCAGAAATTCACTGTAACTAGAAGCCAAATGAGTCCTGTTGACGATGTATCCCCAGCCTTAGGGTCATGTATGCAGAACCCATAAACACCCTATTCGGGATCTAGGCCAGAGAGGGCCATTTTCCCATGGAATGACACACACCCCAACTCAAAGTCCATCCGTGCAACGACTCAATTTCACCCAGAAGAAGGCATGTGCTCCTTAACACTATTTTTGGTGACATGATGGCAAGACAGCTAAGTTACACTTAATTTTTTTTTTTTTAGTGCTAAATCAAGGACAGAAAGAGAAAAACAAAATAGTAAGTTTAAACAACGGGAAATAAGTAAATCCAGACTCCAATGCCTAGAACACACTAGACACAGATAAATAACCGGGTTGATCTAGGGCTGGACTCCATCCCTGTCATTCCCTAGCTGTACAGCCACGAGGTCATCTCCCTGCCTCATCATCCACAAACTAGACGCCAACGCCTACCTGACAGGCTGCTGTGAAGATAAAGCACCACCGGTGTGGGACGCAGCAGCACCCCACTTCCCTTTCCACTTTTAGGACTAACATACAATCGACTGTTCCACCTATCGCCTGAGATGCAACCAACAAAGCAAGTCAGAGGAAACGCCGTCTGTCTGCGTAAGGAAAACAACGCAGAGCGGTGACTTTACAGACAAGCTAGCCCTCCCTCACCACGCCCCGGCTTCTGCACGTGCATACTGTTCCCTAAGCCTCAATATTGTTCAAATAGACAGTTCTGACCCTGGGAGGGAACCTGAACTTTTCAAAAGAATGTAGCAGTTCAAGTTCTCGCCCAGGGTCAAAACCTTTCACTAAACCTACAATTTCAAACTTGGCTTGGCGGCACATGGCCACTGTGACACAAATTAATGTTGCGTATTCATGTGAAATACTTCAACAAACCTACCACTTAGGGACCCTTTTTACTCCTAACTTCCCCCAATTGTTCTCACGGGGAAACAAAATTTAAAATTTTGTAGCAAATTATCCAATACAACTTTAAATTCCTGATTTTTAACTAAAAGCACTTAAGTATATAGCTAGAGTAACCATATAATCTCAAATTAGGCCACTTTTGAGAAAGAAGGCATAAGCTGGGAAGTACAGTCAACCTACATATAACAAAACTTATTATGTCTGAGTGATTAGAATTAATGTAAACATAATTAATGTCTGAACAAGACTGAGAGTTTCCTATTGTGTACAATTCCTGTCACAAAAAGGATGGCAGCTCAGTGAACGCCGTAGCACAACCATGTCAACGTGGTTCACAGAGGCCGAGAACAGCAGAAAGGCCCCTTCTACTGGAGGGGCCTGCTCAGCCGTGGGGTGCAGGGCCAAACCTCCCGGGGTCCTGAATTGTATTTCCGCTTAGAACATCAGAAGGGGCAGAAGATCAATCTATTCTAAGGACAATCAGGACACCCCCTGGGACATCTGAACGCCCCCACCCACATATATGAAGTCTGGGAACAGCCCAGGTCTCCTTCATACTGTGTGTGATTAATTACGAGGCTTCCTCATCCAGGCTCTCATTACACTTCCTGCTATCAGAAGGTTGTTAATTGTGTTGGGTTAAATATACTAGCAGGTACGTGAAAATATATCCTGAAGTAAACAACCAAAGAACTTATATACTCTTTGCAATTAATGGAACATTTTCTTGTTAATCAACACATCCTTCATTTATACTTACAATCTCCTAGCAATTAAAAAAAGGGGGGGGGGCAAATTTTAAACTCATATAGTCTTGAATTTAGGCTTAAAATTGCTTTTAATCATATTAAAAATGTCAGTTCCTCAGATACAAGAAACCAACAGGTTCATCTGATATTTAGGCACTTCCTTTTTCTTTTTGGCATTTATAAAAAAAATTTTAATTAAAAAAAGTACAAATATGTTGACAAGTGAACTAAGCTTGGCAAACTGATAATCGTTGATGCTGGGTATATGTATGGGGACTCACTATTTTAGTGTATGTCTGAAACGTTTCATTACGCTGTTTTCTATAACGAACTGTCTTCCCACTGAACAGCACGCAGCAGGCAGGGACCCTGTCTATGTGTTTGATGCAGCAGGCCCGGGCCCAGCACAGGCTTGGTATGACACACGTGGTGATATGTGTTACCTGTCACAGCATGGAACACACACACACCTCCACCCGTCCCAGCAGTAGCTGAAGACACACAGGCAGAGCCATTTCCTGAGTCACATGTGCTGGAGACCAAAGCCTTCAGCTCTCAGGAAGACAGCAAAAAACGATTTCCTTTCTTAACCAAAACACTCCACCTTTTACTCCAGGTGGAGTGACCCATCACTGCTGCAGCCAGGTTCCTCCCTGACCTCCACTCTCTCTTCTCCGCAGTTCCTTACTGGGAGACTGAATGAATTAAACGTGTGAAGCTGTTCTGACTCCAGAGTTTAAAGAGCCTGTCATCTCGTCAGTAAGCTTTTCTTTCCCTCTCCACCCTATCTAAACTTACAGCCACCCAAGTCCCCATTCCTTCTCACCACCTTTTTCCTCAAAAGCCCTTCCCACCATCTATCTTGAGTCTCCCAGACAGAAGTGTCCACTCCAGGAGAGCGGGCCTTTCTGCTCTTTGCTCAGTGCCACAGCCCAGGACCTGGAGCCGTGTGGGCACATGGAAGGCCCAGGAACACTTGGCGACTCAGTGAAAAAAGGACACAAAGCACTCAGAGTGACTGTGTAATACTGGAGCAAACGACCAATATTTTCAAGTGTAGTACTGGTTTCTGTGCAGGCAGGACTGAAGTACACTTAGTTACAACAACTCAAAGCATATACCTGTAAGAGCAAATCTGCGGTCACACAGTGAGTGGTCAACATCAGCAAGGTAAAGGTCGCAGCCATCTTTTTCCATTTTCATACCACAAAAATCCACTCGCTCTCCTGCTGCTAAATGTTCAGGAAATTTAACAACTCAACAGCAAACAAAGTTAAATAGCCCTGCTTACACTTAAAGAGAGCAGATGGAAAATCAACGACTATCAAATGAAAACAAATCTACATTATTGCAAACCATTTCTTAAAAATTTCAGAATGGTCAAACAAAATTCTTCACTAT